CCCCCCCCCCCCCACCAGGGGCATTTTGTTTATTTTCGAAATCCGTCTCCATCGCACCTCACCCCCTTTATTTTATGATGCCGTTTTATCGACTTGATATCAAATAAATTGCAGGTACTTGACAAACGACCCACAATGGCAAACAAAACGGTGACCTAGTTTGAGCTGCGGTGTACCGCGAGGCTCTTTGTAAGTCTTTTCGTGACGTCACCTGGTTAGCACTCACTACCGGGAAGTGACAAACAAAATTTACCTGAGTAAGACTAGACTTGTTTCACGGTAGGGTTTAGGTCATAATTAAATTAGAGCCGCTGTTGACGCACTATACTTACCAGTTAATTGTGAAACAAAGGCGCTGGTGTGGTAGCCGCTTCTGTTCAAGGTACGAGAACGCGAAAGAGAAAGTGCTACTAACTGATACCAGGTAGGTCTTATTTGCACTTTTTCCCGTTCGTGTTTAACATAGGATACACATTAAACATCATTGAACAGGATATTTTACACCGTTTTAATCCTCTAAAGATAAACAATTAACGTCTTTACGAACATCGCTCATGTAGGCCTACTGGAGTCTTTGTAAGTATGCAACCGGTCGTTTTAAGGGTACGATAATCTGCCCTTACTAAGCTAGTTTCTCTACCACAGAGTAGTAGCTACGGAGGAGTAAATATATCGACCATAGGTTTCTATTGCATGTTTTTTCAATGCTTTATATAAAAGACTATTGAATTCCGGCTTTCGAGCACTCTCGGTAGAAGGTGCATAGTGTTGTGCACAGGTAAATGTACGCTTAGCAGAAATGGGCGGGGTGGGGGGTGGGGGGGGGAGACGAGAGACTATCATGCAGCACACACAACTTTACAAATACAATTTTAAAAAACATCGTCATTAACGTCATAAGTGCTTGTACCTGTAAATGTATTTTTGGCAATTTTATTGGCGATTCAATGTTATCAGAAATTATTCTGTCATCAAAACGACAGACTGTAGAAATACAGGGGTATTAGTAGTGCTTTTAATATTCTGTGACTTTTTTCTACGGATCAAACTGCGGTAGGTAGATATTCACACACCATTCCCTTATGTTCTGTGTCATCGAGAGTTTTTGCACAACATCAACGTCATATCACACTACTGGTATATAGTACAGAGTTGGTACCATGTGATATCATGGGCCTCTCAAATAGTATACAAAATTTAAGTATAGGCGATACAATTATTTTATAAAAGGCTAGGGCAACTCTGTGGTCAGAGAGTAGCGAGTTTTAGTGTGCATCAGACAACTACTCAAACTTCTCACTTGGAGGTTTAGTAATATATATATATATAAGAAGATACAGGTTGTATATACCGGTATGTGTATGTATATATATAAAGGAAAAATACACGTAAGCCTACTCCTTTAGCCACACTTAGCTATGCACGTAGATATATATTCTTGTACGCACGCACACCCGCTCATCTGCGCTCAAGCAAGCGCGTAGGTATGACAGAAAATCCACAGACACAACAGTGTTTGTTTTGCAATTTATCAGATAAGATGATAGGGCAAACTGAGTCTAAAAACCAATGTAAAGTCTTAAACAATCTTTATTTAGACCTACTTCTTTAAAGATATCTTTTAAAATGAAGTTTGCTCAAAGAGAATCTAGAGAACTTATGTCAACAATCTTGAAAAATCACGTCGGTGTCACACGTTATGAAGCAACCAGCGACTATTACTATATTTGTCACCGGCGTCCGTTATTGCGGTAATTCTCCTTAAACGCAGACTATTATCTACATAAGTTAAACATTGACAGAGTATAAATCATGATCACTTAATAGCATCACATGAGGCAGCAGAGGTTAAAGTTTTATCCTTTGTTCCCCGAACATAACAGTAAATCTATTACTGACTCTATCCCATGTTTTGAATCAATAGGGTATTTCACAGACGTCGTGGCTCTGTGATATTTCTCGAGCCACTGCGCCAATCACTGCCAGTCCGTGCACCAGTTATTAAAACCCTTCCCCCTCGGAAAATTTCGATACCATTTCACTGTGTAAACCGCGCATGGTAATCCTATTTAATAAAATGATAATAAACAATGAATAGACTTTTATCTCTTTTCAGCTTCTGTTTTGACCTTGTCGACATTACGTGTCACGGCCATGGCCGGTTATCTCCTCAAAGTGCTAATCTCCACTGCAACTTTACAAAGTGTGCTTCACGGCGCAGGTAAGTGCCCGTTTAGGGTGTTTTAAGCCACAAGATTAAACATAATCGAAAATAAACAAACGCCTACTGCGTGATTTTATACTGGGTATAATACCTGTAAATAGCAAAGCTAATTTTCTCGGAAATGTCAAAACATTTCCCTCGGCCATCAGGAAATATCTACGTTTGCGGTCTGCAATCTCGTCTTGTTGATTAAGTTGCTAATTTGGCCGTCATTTTCGTGACTGGCGACTTTCTTCCCTATGAGATATGAAGATTGTGAGACAAATCGTAATTTTTATCGACTGTTGTGGAGAGTGTACATATCGATGATAAAAGAAAATGTCCAGGAAAATTTCTTTTTACATACTTTGCTGTATAGAACATTATGCACATTATGTGCATTTTTGCATTTTTAAAATGTGTCTATCAAAGATAAGGAATAGAGCTGGATTACTTGACCGAATGTGCCACACCCCAGGTCTTCAAAAATTAGATAATCAATTCAACCCCACCCTTACCAGTGGCGGATTAAGGGGGGGGGGGGGGGGGTCATGGGGATCCTGATACCTCTTCCATTTCCGAAAAAAATCAATGGTCCCCTCTTGAAATGATAATTTTGACTAGCTGAATCATAGTTCTAAACCGTACCAAATGACACCGTTCGCCCCCTAAAAACCACATTTTCCTTCGAGGCCTTTACGCGGGCCTCGAACCCCACGCCAAGGGGAGTGGGGTGTCGGCTTCGCATCCGCGGACCCCCCCCCCTCCCTTCAAATTATCCTGGTTCCGCCCCTGCTTACCAAGAAGGGGTAAGGGGCTTCTTTTGAGCGGAGACACAAAGCATGCTGCACATAGCCTGGTATTTTCCAAAATTTTTCTTTCTCTTTTCTTCATAACCGATACATTGTAGGGTGAGACGATCATTTAAATGCATCTTCAAATAAATTTTCAGTCTCTTTGGATTGTCTCTCCGATCAGTGTAGTTATGGCGGAAGTGGGGAACCCGCATGCGTAACATCCACGTCCACAGCAACAACCATCACTTGTCCATCCGGTGAACTTTGCTATACTAAGAGGCAGTACCTGAAGTGTAAGTAATATGTTGGCAGGTTAAAGACCCTATTCTAGTGCATGTATTACAGCTGAGTGGGATATTTATACGAGATTAATATTCACAATTTATAGTTATTTTATAAAATGATAATATTTAAAGCGTTTCTTCTTCAAAGTTGCTTTTAAAAATGCACGTATCATACATTTCCCCAATAAGGAAACACCTTTTTGCAAGTAACATATGTCGTAGTTGTGCTATTTTTTTCAAATGAAGGGATGTTCTGTTGACGAATTTTTGCCTAGGGTATTTCAGTAAAAAAAACAGCTATGTTGTGAATATATTTAAATAAAAGTGACGTATTTTGTTTTGTCTTATTTCTAAAAGCATATAAAAGCAAAATATATAAATCAATGTAAAGATACAATTTTATATTGGCACCGATCACGTTTCAGCCCCGGGTTACATCTATTACTTTGAGAGGAAGTGTAAAGCTGATGTGGGCCGCAGCTGCACGGAGGACAACCACTACTACACGTGCGAGGAGTCCTGCAGCACCGATGGCTGTAATAATGGGAACGGTGTTCCTAGTGGATACGACCCTCTACCGTCATCTACAACTACTACGACAAGTGCCCCTGGCGTGTCTACTTCCACCAGCAATCCAGGCATGAGTTGTCTATATAATTTTTGTTTATTACTTTGCACAATTGCGTTTTCTTTTATCCATTTATTCGTTTGTATTTTTTTCAATTTATTTTTTAAAGATACAAATAAAATAATTTTACGTAATTAGAAATCCTCCATGATATTTCAGGTCGCCAGTGCTACAGTTGTACTTACGTCCAGTCAGCTGATGCTTCGGTCGGTTACGAGTGTGTGAACGGCGTGACCACAATTGAACCCATTCCATGTCCATCTGATAGAATATGTGTGGTCAAACGGGTCACTTCTCTCGGTAAGTTGACCAGCAATGTAGCATTTTACATATTTCAAAAAAGTTTTTAAAAATGGAGATTTAATAGCTAAAATTAAATTTTTATTCAGCGTGACTTTGACCATTACACCCAAATGGCGTGCAATAATCGTAGACTGTTACAAGTGGAAAGTTGAATTGGTAGACTTAAGTTAAAGCTTTCATAGAGGGCAGGGACTCGCACAATTTTAATGTTCAAACAGACAATAAAGTATTTTCTTTCTTTCTTTTTGCTAGCTACGGACAGAGTTAATTCATTTGAACGTGGCTGTCTACCAACATCTTCCGTCACAGCAGGCTGCACTAAAGATGTCTACTTCAACACATGCACGACCACGTGTTGTGGACATTTGTGCAACACAGGGACTGGAATACCGGACAGCGAAACTACAACAACTGGTCGGTCCGGTGGCGGAAGTTTGAAGAGCAGTCCATTCTTGTTTTTAGTTTTGCTCAGCTGTATTTTGTCACGCGTGCAAATGTCCTGACGTGTAGACGTGTAGTTCGTTAGCTGACCTGCG